TATAAATATATTATTAAATATTTTACAAATTTTACAATTAAATCTACAATATTTTATATACATTCTATATTATACATAATGATATAAATATGTGATAATATAAAAATGATCATGTATGTATAAATATATTATTAAATATTTTAAGTATTTTACAATTAAATCTACAATATTTTATATACATTCTATATTATACATAATGATATAAATATGTGATAATATAAAAATGAAAGTAATAATCATGTATGTAAATATACATATAATGATATAATAATATGAGTTACTCACAAAGATAAGCGAGCAATTAGTTTCATAAATAAAAAATTTGTAATAAATTTGTACAATTAAAACAGCAAATTAGTGCTTAATTATATTTAATTAAGCCATAGATTTGATTTCTGATAATAGAAATGCCAGGTTAACAGAAATAAAATCATTGACATTAAAAGGCAAAAATTAGATCAATTAGAAAATTTAGAAAAATTAGACCAATCCCGATAACAATTATCAAAATATTACATGAGATTATTTCTCTTATATACAAAAACTGCAAAGGAAAAAAATAAATTATTTTTTCTTTAATGTGAATTATCAATATTTCTCATATCATTCAAAAAAATTATTTAAAATTATATTATTTTTTACGCAAATTTACAAAAGCTTTAGGAACATTCTGTGTGTGTGTGTGTGTGTGTGTATTTATATATAAAATATGCAAACTTTCGATTGGTCGATTCGTGTTAGCTAATTATAAATCGTCCGGACAGCACATTTCCAATTGTAGAATCACGAATAGTTACGAATCTGCACTTGTTTATTAAAATGCTATCGCGATGAACCGACATGTTAGGATAAATCTGGTTCTATTTGCCGCTGAATATATCGATCTCAGCGATACCAACTATATTGATTTCTTGAATATTGTATACTTTTAATTCAGACTGCAGACGACAGATATACTGCCACGACGATTTATTATTACTTAACGAATTATCAATTTTTGTTATTTGAAGTTGGTAGTGATACAAGAGTTAAATAAACTGCTTGACTATCTCGTATTTAATTAAAAGTGCCATCATTATTTCGTAACATTTTATAATCAATAATGTATAGAAAGATTTTGATATTTTTAAATTAATAAATGGGATTTTATAATACATATGTAAATATAATCCCCCTTTTTTATTATTTATCATGTATTACAACATATAATTACACACATATACACACAATAATAATTATATATTAGACAGTTAGAGGATATATTTGACATGTTAAGAGAAAAGTGAAAGAGAGAGATATTATACCAATATTATTATAGTAATTCTTGTATGAGAAAGTTTTAATTTTTTAATTATGTCAAGTATATATTTTGTAATGTAAAGATTTATCGATTGGTTTGTTACAGTTCAAAAGGACGGTGGCACGCAATTAAAATTGATCATTGACTATGGTGATAACATGCAAGCATTATTCAAACCAATGCGGTAAGTACGCCATTACTGCTCGTATAAGAATATATATTTAACTATTTTATTGTGTCTTCTTATATTCCCGTTAGAATATATTGTCTCTTAATAATTATTCCGTATTATACCGTATCGAATATACGCGTAAATCCAATATGTATAAAATTATATAATATTATATATATAATCTTATATATATAAAATTTATATTCAAATTAAATATATATCAAAAAAGTGAGATATATCAAATATAAAATAATCGTGCTCATGTGCTATATAAGCAAATGGCGCTAATTAGTGACAATCATGTGCAAATTACGAGGAAGAGGTCAACTTCCACGACTTTCGCGAATAAAGACGACGGACCACTGTGAATGTCGCAAAGTTCTTGGTATATCTTGGAGTTGCAGGCAGGCAATGTGCGAAATTACTTTGGCAGTTTGTCGGCGCTCAATGGGTGTCGCGACGCTACCGTGGGACATCGTTCCGATAGCGCCTACATTAATGCCAAGATATATATGAAATCTCTCTCTCTCTCTCTCTCTCTCTCGTTACCGAAAAAAATTTTATAATCGGAATTTGAGTGAAAATTCTAATATATCTGCGATAGTTCTGCATCGTTCTGATCTTCCAAAAATTGATAAGTTCTGGTACGAAACGGACCACATATGTAATCACTTCTTTTGTCTCGTCGTCAGATTTTCTCATTGACCCAAGTTACGCGGATTCAATTACAGTGCAATTATATAAATCATATCTCATGCGCACCCCTCATGCTGTGAAACACTCTCAAGTAACCTTACAGTTTCCTCTTTTCGTCGTCCCCTTTTTTTTCACCACTCTTCTTTTCTTTTCATACCGCTTCTCTCGTTAATGACACGTCACACACTCCATTGTTTCCGAGCATACGTGTCTTTTTGCCTGATACCTTGTCAAATGCGACCAATTCAATTGAAGCTGAATAGATATTTAATTTCGACCATTTTTATTTTAAATTACAATATATAGCAATATTATATCTGCAAATATTACTTCTTTAAATCAAGTGACTTTGTCATTCTTCATTTTTGAATCGATATTTATATTAATAAAATAATATTTATATAAAATAAAAAGAAATATGTATCATAATGTACATAAAATTATATAATGAGATGTAGAATAATAATACTTTAAACAATTTAAATATATATGTGTGTGTGTGTGTGTGTGTCGCAATAGAATATTTTTAACATTATCAGTAGAGAAGTAGCGATAGTGCAATATCCACAGGAAGACCGAGAAAAATTTTCGGACAAGCCTGATATTATAACTCTATCTCTGTCCCTCTTATTTCTTCCCATCATCTCTTTCTCTCTTTCTCTCAATGATCCACACGAGTCCAGAACCCTTTAAACTTCCAGTGGGCCGAAGATTCCACGATAAGTGGCCGCCGCTCGCGCGGCTTAAACTCCGGTAATAAGTTCGCCAATAAGTTCCTCCGAAAGTTTGCGACCTCGCGAGAGAGCAGTAGCGAGAATTTTGGGGCCAGCTCGGCCGCAATAAGCTCTCGTTATTCGCTCGGACAAAATTTATTCTATTTAAAGAAAGAATAAAAACATATTTTTTTACGGGACATATACACACACACACACATATATATTATTTATATGATCATTATATATGCCATTTATCTATTTTAAAATTTACATATTTTATAAATAATGTAAAAATATTATTGAATTATCTGCGATGTCAGATTCCAAAAGTGGCATCTTCACGAAATACTTATGAAGCAATGACCTATATTTTACGGAACAATAGAATCCAAGTGTTAAGCATTCTTGTAACATTTATAATTTGATCATCAAAATATAGGAAGTTGAAGATAGAGTTCTTTAATAAAAAGAAATATTAAATTAACTGTTCGGTTGACTCGATTTTTGCGATTAGATTTTTTCCTTATTTTCTAAGATCGATCACAGATTTCATTTGTGTATGTGTGTTTTGTGTATGTGTTTATTGTCCTATCTCATGTGTATACATATATGTATATACACATATAACGCGCGACTCGTAAGCCCGCACTAAGATCATTGAGTAAATATTTGATCGCGCTCGAGTTTGCGGAACTCCTGAAGCTCTCTCTTTCTCTCTCTCTCTCTCTCCCTGTTTCTCCTCCCCCTTCTTTCCTTTCTTTCGTCCTTCTTTTCCCTTCCTGTTCGTCTCGAAAGAAATCCTCAAGAGAAACTCGGGGACCAATAAAAGCCCGAGCTTTCGCATTGTCCCTTCGCTGCACTTCCCCGGCGAATAATTTTGATTTTTCTTTATCATACGATGTGTTCCGCCCGACTGCACGTTGCACAATATGAAATTTATCATTCTAGCATGATATAATAAAATATTTTAATGACTGGATATATGTAAATATATATATTAGGTAAAATATGACAAGATGAAGAAGATGACAAGATGACAAGATGATTTTATTTTCATAGATGATATTTATGTTTGTTTATTATGTAACAATTCTTTTTTTTTTTAATTTAAATGTGCAGTCTCCTACATATTTGTTAATGTTCTTATTTACCTATCAATTCATTACCAGAAATCATGAGATAATTATCAACTAGCGAGCGATTGATAACGAGCATGGATTTATAACAATTGAATATTATGATACTGATATACACGTAAATATATATGTATATACACACACACGCGTATGTGTTGTTCAATTATATTAATTTATCCGCTAAATGAATAATTACGAAGTGTAGGATGTATTGCAAATTATTAATAGAAATAATATATAATTATGATATACAGGGTGTCCTAGACCACCCGTACACCCCTTTTCTTTCAAAAATGTATTTTTTTAAACAATTATTTGTTTTTTTCTTTACACTATGACACCATCTTATGTTCCCCTCAAAACGATACAATTTTTGTTCAAAACGTTTTTCTCTAAAATGCTTAGTTTTTGAAAGAAAAGGGGTGTACGGGTGGTCTAGGACACCCTGTATATAAATCCTTTTACAATATTTAAAGAAAGATTGAGAGAAAAAGAGAGATATCTTTTGTTGCTTTTAATATAAAATTTTTATAAAATTTTTTATTAAAAAAAGATGCTATTTTATTAATGTAAAATTAAATAGTTTTGCGATAGTTTATTTTGTATAAAACTTAAGAGATGGCAATCTAGTAAATAGATTAATATATATACATACATATAATTGACATGATTATTGAATTATGCAATATATAGGGCGATCATAAAGTCACGCGACAGATATCGATCGATTGATGCTGCAATTCCCTGTAATCTTTCGCAATATAGCAATTTCGTATAATCCCTACGATATTACGCACGCGAGTCTTTTTCTGAACACGTTCATATATCGACTCTCCGTCGATTACATAAGATATTTCAAAATAATTTTGCATTTTAATTTTTTAATTCTCTCAAAATCCAAAAAAATTTATGGATACTAAACATCCACTTCAAACTCTATTTCTTTTTTTAAAGTTTATTTTTAATATAACGATAACCGAGTCATTATCATGCACAGATTCCCGCGAGAGCAACAGACTTTGCCGAATCATTTCTACTTCACAGACTTCGAGAGACATACCGCTGAAATCGCTTCCTTCCATCTAGACAGGTAAATTATTATAACACATTAATCTCTTTTTTTTTGCATAAATATATATATGTTGAAATCAAAATTTTACCTGATTTTATATGAGAAAGAGAAAAAATAAGAACGTAAAATCAATTATTTAAAAAAGAATGGTGAAATTAATTATAAAAATGTTAAATAGAAACATAACGTATATTTAAAAAATTCAAAGATATAATTCAATATATTATAAATTTAAATCGAATTCAATAGATATTATGAAAATTTATTTTTTCAACACATTTTAAATGAATTTAAATGAATCAAATTTCTCAAGACAAAGACTGTATATTTTTTTCTTCTAATTATCCAGAGGATAATATTTAGAAAAATAAACTTTGTTCATAGGATAAAAGATTGACATGTAGATTGACATAGAATTTCCCTTCGCGAGTTTAATATTAAAAATTAAATAGATTTAATTTAATATTAAATTAATTTAATATTAAATTCTTTTTTAAACTCAGAAAAAGAAAGATCTCATGTTTTTTTTTTATTTACAGGCTTTTGGGATTTCACAGAGCGATGCCAGTAACTGGTCGAACTCTCAATGTGACAACAGAAATTTATCAGATTGCCGATGGCGAGCTGCTCAAGACGTTCTTTGTGAGCCCAGCTGGCAATCTGTGCTTCCATGGCAAATGCAGTTATTATTGTGACACCGCACACGCGGTTTGCGGTAGTCCCGACACCCTGGAGGGCAGCTTTGCCGCTTTTCTGCCCGACAAAGCCTTCGTCGCCAGGAAGGCCTGGCGACACCCTTGGCGCAGGAGTTATCACAAGCGGAAGAAGGCCCAATGGGAAAACGGTAAGGCACCGAGCATTTCTTGAAGAATTCTGTCTATCCTAAGAAACTCTAAGGATTATAAAAGGAAAGATAAGATCTTTTTTAGCTGTATATTTTATTTTACATTCAAAGTGAACGTCTCACTTTTTCATTGCATCTTACTTAACTATTTATTATTATTATTTGCGTTAACATCTTTTTTTAATTACTTTTTTGTGCTATTATTATATCCTTGATTTAATAATCGTTATGCCATTAGCGATAGGACCGATTATTATTATATCATTATTATGATTTATTAATGTTAATTAATATATGTACTTATTATCTGACAATGAGGATAATAAGCATTCACGTTTACATATACATACATATATATATTTTTTTTTACAAACTTGCAGATTCCGACTATTGCTCCCTAGTAAAAGAAATCTCACCATATGACGAAGGTCGAAGATTGCTCGATCTAATGGACATGGCCATCTTCGATTTTTTAACGGGCAATATGGACCGCCATCATTACGAGACATTTAAGATTTTTGGAAACGATAGTTTCACGTTGCATCTGGACCACGGAAGAGGTTTTGGAAAACCCTTTCACGATGAGACGTCTATTTTGGCGCCTCTCTTACAATGCTGTATGATTAGACAGACAACTTTAAGTTCTCTACTCCGGTGAGTCAAATTTTTGTAATTTTTACAATAATATTGCTCCCCCCCCCCACCCTTTCCACACATAATACTTGATGCTGTGTAATAATAATAATAGCGCATAATAATTTGTGCAATAACTATTCTAATTTTAAATTTTTTTAAATGTCAAATCTCTCTTTTTCATATATTGTTAAAAATTATTATCATAATTATAACCATATGTAATAAATATGAAATATATATATACATATGTGTGTGTGTGCATTTCATATTTATATATTATATAAGAGAAATATATGTATATGTATATATAAATATTAAGTATAAAAATTGTAGAGCTTTATCATCATAAAATAATGCGTACTTATTCCGATTAATTTTTTTAGTCTCCTTTACAGGAGTATCAAATGTTTTATATTAATTAATAAAAAGCTATTTTATATTAATCATTAAAAAGCTATTATTATGGAATTTATCGTTACAAAATGTAGCGGTGTAGCAATCACACTCTCTCTCCAAAGCGGGGGGAGGGGGGGGGGAGAAGAGATATGTGTTTTATGATTAGAGTAACTAGATGGTATCGATAACATAGAAGCGAACGATTTGATTAGAAGCGTTTTTAATCTGTATCCTGGTGTTAATCTCCCGCTTGACATTATTTATCGGTTTTCCATTTTCGATACTTTGCGCGTCCGCGAAATTCAGCCGGCTGAGCAACGAATTTATCGCGCCGCCCGTAAAAACGTGAATCTGCATCAAAGCGAAGATTCACGACCGTGCCCTGACAATTCTGATAAAACGCAGTCCCAGATTGGCCTTATCGCCAAGTTTTTACCGGTTCCTTTTTTTTTTTTTTTCGATAGGATCGAATTCATGGCAACCGAATCTACTGTCGACTATTCTGAATTGGAAATTTGGTCGATCGACAGACACCGTCTATCACGTGCGATTCGTTGAAGAATCGACGATTAAAAATAATTGCTCCCATATTTCTATCACATGTGTGTCAAATTTCAACTTTCTTCGAGAGGGAGCGTAAAAAATATAAGATCTCTTGAATTGTATATTATCGCACTATATATAAATCCTTTAATTCTCACATTCACATACATACATATATGTAAATGTGCTTACATGTATAATATTCTTACACATATATAGGTAGATCATATATATGTGTATAAAATTTCACATAAATCATAGAGAACCAAATTTTCAAAATTCAATATTTCTGCTAAGATCCTTTGGAAAAATTTACGTGATTTAAATATGTACTCTCGTGAAAGAAATAGTGCACTGGATACATGAGGGTATTGGATATTTTATTTGACACACTTAATTATATATTAATAGACCATTAGCTAACTATTAGTTTTTAACGCGATAGGAAGGAAGATTGACTCTTCTCATGCTTACGCACTCAAAATGCTTATTAATGCGTTAATGCATTGCCTATATTTTTTTTATTATTAAATAAATAAAACTACATTTTTATCTCTTGTTTTTATCTACGATATATTAAAAATCATCATGTTATTTTTTCTGTTAACAAAAATAATAACAATTATCGTATCAGAGAGAGAGAGAGAGAGAGAGAAATTATATGTAATGATTCTACAAATCATAAAAATTATAACATATATGATTAATAGAAAAAAATCAAAAATATATTACAGATAGGATTTTAAATAGTTGCTACTAAAAATTAAAATGTGTAAGCACCCATTTTAACATAAACATCTTAAATATCCATTTGTAGAAAACAAATAGAAACACATACACATACACACACACAAATACATCACAGAATTAAAGAAACCTATACGCCTATTAAACGCGTTATTACAGAATAATTGCTTCCTGCTGCGCTGTTTCGTCCCATGAACCGCTGATTGTGACTTCTTTTGTTAGTTCATTTTCTACATTTTGCACGGCGACCGATCGCCCGATCGACCAACGTAATTACGATAACAATGAAGCGAAATTACTTGGTTCGCCATCAATTAAAAATTAAACAGTTGTAAATTTTCGAAACAATAAAAATAATACGAAAAGAATTTTTAGATCGATAATGGGCTATCTCTAAATGAGCAGATCGCGGTTAATATGACTGAAAATAATTTTTCAATATGTATTAATTAAATATTTTTCAAGAAAACAATATTGAGTTCGAAGGTTTTTTCCGGATTGATAATAGCCTCGAGACGCTTTTCAGAGCGAACGTGGGTTTTTAGATCAACAACCAGGCGGTCGGAAGCTTTCAGAACGATAATGGAAGCCTCCTGGAAGGGTTGGTGGGACTGCCAATGAATAAAGTATCGGCTTGAGCAGACACTCGACTTGGGCTCTATTTATACGAGGTGACACACACACATACACGCGCGCGCATATACGCACACAACGTGGCCGCGTCACGTTGGATAAAAGTAGACTCCTCTCAAAGTACTTTGCTTTGCCACCGGTTGGCTACTCACCGGGGAGTCCTCGGAGGACTTTCTTTCAGGATTAAGGAGGAAGGATGAGCCTCGAGATCGAATAGCCTTTTCATCCCGTGACTTTTGTTTACCTAGTTGCTCTCATTGTCAACGCGAGTTTATACGCGCGTGTATAAAATTAAACTCTTATAAGTTATTCTACAAGATTATAAAAGGTGTCATGCTTCACGTATCACCTTATAATAATAGACTTTCTCTGATCAATTTAAATAGATTTATCTTTAGCAAAAATATCGAATAACTCTACAACTACGTATATAACAAATCATAATTTTTTAATTATAGAAGAGTATAAGATTATTTCAATCGATTACAAAAAGGTTTTATAAATTAAACTCTTTACTGTATAATTATATTAAATTTTACAGATAATAAAGTTTAATATAACTTGATTTTTTTTTTAATTGGATAATTACTTTTTCACATGTACAAATTTGTTTAATGTATTTCACTCAGTGTATATAATCTTCAGTGAATATATATGCAAAGATATAATACTTTAGTCAAACAGATACCTTATATATATTTCTCATCTAATTGCAAAAGTTAAGTTGACTAGAACTTTAATTTGCAACTTATTGTTAATAATGAAAATATATGATGTTAAAAATTGAAGAATTGGAATAAATGATAATTTTCTTTGATATATATTTTTTTAGAAAAAGTCGATTTCAAGAAAGTGATAAAAGTATTTTCTATTATAAAAAGATAACGCAGAGATATCCCTTTTTCTTTCTGTGTTTCCTATATATAGAGTATCGTATCTCTAGTGCGTTATCTTTTAATGATAGAAAATTCTTTTCTTGAAATCGGACTTCTTCTAAAGAAAATATCAAACAAAATCATCATTTATTCCAATTCTTTAATTTTTTTAACATCATATATTTTAAAATACGTATATATATATTTTTTTTTTATGGAGCTGATATTTTTCGATATTATCTTGCTTCGAATAAAATACATGATAGTGTCCTCCAAAAACAATTTTTTCACCAATGTTAAATATTTTGACTTTAAGCGAGACTCTCTTAAAAACTTTTGGCTTTTGACCATAACCAATGTTATCTGGTTTTTGGCTTTAGGCTTTAGACTATAAGTTAATTAACAATTAAATTATGGCCTAAGGCCTAAAGCCAAAAGCCAAATAACATTGATTATTGCCAAAAGTTTTAAATCTCGCTTAAAGCTAAAACAACATTGGTGCAACCGGGCCTAAGAAAAAAAAGATTCTATAAATTGACTTAAATATCGCTATTTAAGCAGCTAAAATTTTGTTTTTGCATATATATTTATTGAAAATTATATGCGTTATGTGAAATACATAAAACAAATTTGCATTTGAAGAAATAATCATCGAATTAATATAAAAATGTAAATTATTAAACATTAATCGATTTGAACTGAATATTCCTCTGAAAATAAAAATAATATATAAAAATATAAAACAAAAGTGTGAGTTTCTGTATAATTAAATAAAATACATATCTTTAAATTTTTAAATAGGGCGCGAATTCCATCTATTTAAGCTAAGTAATCTCAAAAGAATAATATTATATGTATACACATATACATATACATATCAGGTCTACCGGAAAGTTCTGTCCGTTTCTGGAATAAAACAAAATACAAATTTTTATTACCAATCAATAAACTATTACTATGAACTTACCATTATCTAAATATCTCTCTCGATTCAATAACAATCATCTGCTTCCATTAATCTATTGCAACGATCTCTCGATGATCCTCGAGAATCTCATGACACACTTGCAATGTTTGATTACAATCACAATTGATGAAACATGCGGAATATATTGTGTATAGTACGGTCACGTGTGCAAACACATTTATATTTTTTATAAAATATTAATCAAATTCTATATTTTTTTTATTATTATTTAATATAATCATCAACAGTTTTATATGTATACAAACATTTTTATATATGGATGTGTGCGTATATATACACACGCACACACACACACATATATATATATAAAACTTTATCGGTATAATTTTTAATTTTGATTGCAGCTTTCACAACGGGCCTATACGGCTTAGCACTGCTATGCGGCAAAGCATGGCGAGAGATCCCGTGGCTCCTGTTTTATGGGAACCCCATCTAAACGCCTTGGACCGGCGGATAGGCATCGTCCTGCAAGCTGTCCGCGATTGCATTGCCCGTGAAAACTCTTCGCAGCAGGTTATCCGCGGTGATAAAATTGACTCGAAATTATAGTCTTTGATCGCGATCGAGGATAATTAATTGCGATGTAAAAACATGTAAAGAAGTCTCTTTCTATAAAGGCATTGACAGAATTCCGAGAATATTTGTTTCCACATTTTTCTTTTTTTTTTTATTTATAATATTTCCAATATTTGTTCTATCAATTCATAGAAATAGAAATTAAATTATACTGTTTATTTAATCAAATTGATTATATTAAATCGATCAGACAAATGAATTATACAGATCGAGTTTCATAAAGTTTATTTTTAATTTATTAATATAAGATTCGCATTTTTATTATTGTTTATCTATCTTTTCTTTTATTCGATTGAGAATCGGTGTAAATTATATCAAACAATTTGATTCATTCAATCATTAAAACTCTTTTTAGAATTATAAAATTAATTCAATTTAATTTTAATTTAATACAGAAATTATTATATTTGTTTTTAGCAACTCTCAGAGAAAAATATTATCAATTTTTCGAAAATTTTAACATTCTTGTGTATTAATATATTAACTATCATAGAATGAGAATTATAATTAATTAACGTTGGTTGTGCACACATACAATATGTTTTTTGCCTCGGATAAAATTATAATGCGCACAAAAAAAAATTAATATATTTAATCATAATAAATTTTTAATTTTATTAGAAATAGCGTTAATTTCTGTAAATTCGCGCGAGCGTTAGGCGTTAATTTTTCACAAAATGTTGCTCAACAATGTACCAAAAATAATAAAAAGTTAAACATAGTGTCTATAACCAATTAAATGAATATTAAAGAAATATTCGTTATATTTTATATATTTTTCATAAAGAGAATTATAGGTAATTGTTTTATTGCAGCTAAATTAATATTTTTAAATTATGATCTGGTAGCTTTTAATACATATAATTAGAAAAAAAAATATATAATTTTACATAATAGAAAAAGAATTAATTGTTTAAGAAAGAATTTATAAGAAGAAAGAATGTTAAGAAGAAACTAATACGTATTAAAGAGAGACATTTAAAAATAAATTAAAATTTTTGATATCTATCTTCTTTAAATTTTATCGTGAATAGTTTAATATGTTCTTAGAATTATTTATTCTTTTAATTAATCTTAAAACGGGGAAAAAATAATAATAATTTTATGTATTTTAAAATAGCTTTAATCATTGCTATATATATAGTTGTCTTTCTCAAAGAAAAGAGAATATATCCAAACATATCAATAAATATCTTGCTTAAATCACACATTAGTTTCATTTTGATAAGGAAATTTTTGATGTACAAAGAGGCTATTATGCATACTGTGTGTGTTATGTATATGTGAGTGTGTGCATACGAATATTATAATACTTATAATTATAAATATACAATTTTTACTCATAAATGAGATATGTATGTGTATTTTGATTGCGATTTAGCGATAATCAAAAAAAGTTTTGTCAGTGCAATAAATATCAATGTAAATAACTTTAAATAACAATGTTAGAAAATTAATCTTCTATCGGCCAAAATTCCATATAACAATAATACTTCAATGTTTTGATTATTTTAGTATTGATTCAAAGACTTTTAAAAAGTATAAATAATCGTAATGTGAGTGTGTGTCTGTGTGCGTGTATGTGTGTATATATATATAGAGGAAGAGAGAGAAAATCAATGATTATATGTAAAAATTATTAATTAATAATTATTACCTAACAATTACTAGCAATTATATAATTGTTACTAATTATAAAATTGTTTATATCATATAATCTGTATGACCTGCGTAATGAGTTAAAAAGAAGTATAATAACATTTTTGTAAATAAAACGATTTAATTTTGAGAGCGTGAAAGGGGAGCGTTAATGTTTATATCATGTGCATGAGTGAAATTTGCGTGTATATAAATGCATAAGAGAGCTTTTGTAAATTACTTTTCATGTTTTACTTTCCTTGTATATCATGCACCTGTACGTGAAAAAAATGCATTAAATTGAAAAATAACACGGATTGCATTATTTTGAATTAATTATTTAATCAATATTTTTTCTCTTCTATTTGTTGAATTAGATAAATATGTGAGCGCGCGTGCACGCACACACACGCACATACAAATACACATACACACATTTATATAATCAACAATATCGATCAATCGCGTTATTAAAAAGCAAAGAAGAAAACGCTGTTTATTGATCCTCTCAGAAAATCCATCGTTAACGTTTCCTCCAAGGAAGTTTTCCTGCGAAGAGAAGAGAAGAGAAGAGAAGCGCAAAGTTTAAGCCTTCGCTAAAGACGAATAAAGTTACGCGGAACCACAAATTCCCAAGTACAACAAACGCAGAGATCCGGCGGATACATTAAGGCGCGAAAAGTCGCGCAAATATTTGATGAGGTGCGAAGCGAGAGAAAATGCGAATGAGAATCTCGAAATTATTTTGCCGATCATCTTACTTATTCTAATGTATCAAAAATAAACCATCAAGCTTTAACAATTAAATTAACACAAAATAATTGATACCTAAAAAAAAATTTTTTTTGCGTGTATATTGTATTGAAATTTTATTTTCTCAATATTTGCACACATACATACACAATAAAGTTAGAGAAATCTGTTGCAGATTTATGTAGATAGATCGTACGTGATAATCTTATTATTGATAATTATTTTTTGTTGTCTATATATTTTTAAAAATTATTAGTATAATTATTAGCAAAGATATTAATATATTTTTATTCACATAATAAATTTTGATCTTGACCAAAGAGATCGAGGTATCAATCAACCATAATATACCAATCATAATAATCGATAATTTTCGAGTTAAAATTAATTGATTCATATTTTCATAAATTAAACTTTGGGTAAACAAATATGTATAGCACAAAAATTTATTCCTTATTATAAATTTTAAATAGATTGCTGCCATCGAGTTAATTCGCATTAACGTCAAGATAAACAAGATAATATGCCCGTCATATTCATTTTTGATGCCACTTCAACATCGCGAATCTCGCGAATTCGCGTTTTTTCCGTGCTGGTAGATTTTCCCGATTTTCGTGGTTGTAGCTGACAGACGAAGTGGAGATTTCCAGATCGCGAATAAATTTCGCAGGCCTGTCTATCTCGCAAACAAATGTCCGCAAATGGCAAGAATTGAGCTTCATGATTTTTCTCATAAATTTATCGATCACATGCTGTTTTCATCTATATTTTTAATAATAAAGAGCAATAGTTATATAGTAATCGAAATAGTAAAATAAAAGATAATCGAGGATTAAAACATGTGAATTACATATTTGACATTTTATGATCAAAATATAATATAATATCGCGACTGCTAACTTAAAAATTGAATATCTCGGAAATTATTAGTTTGGAATATATATATATATATTTTAATATTCTTTTTTTCCTAGAATTTGCCGCTCTATAGAATTTTAACGTGAAAAAATTGTCATTTAAAGTTAAGATATTTCATGTATGTGTAGATAGAGTTAGTGGATCGCCCTTTTGTGTGTGTGTGTCTATATATATATATATACACACACATATATTTTTACTGAGGTTTTAAATATTTATATATTTATATATATACTTTGTAATCTCATGTTATTACACGTTAACCTTTTCAACCTGATATATATATTTTTTTTACCCAATATCTCATGATAGCCTTCTTTATCAAAGCTCAAAGGATAAGAATCGTTATTTTAAACTGAGATTACACGATGGGATCTTATTACGATTTATAGATCAGAAGACAGGAAGGCAATTATTATTAATTGCCCTAATATAATGCGAAAAGCAACTCAATCTATCTGTCAAGGAACAGACGTTCTGTTCAAGACATCTAACGTCATAAGCAAATCCGAGATCGTAATTAGCAGGATATACGCTCTCTCACCCACGCCGCTCTCCCGCATGCCAATCCGTTCCTTCAAAGGGAGACTGGTCTGATTCTGTTGCTGTCGTAGACAGGATCAGATTCCAGGCTGCTAATATCATGGAAGATATTCGTCAAACACAACATTCGTCCGCTGTATATCCGCAAATCTTACTTATTAGTTCTGAGAATTTCATGGTACAATATACTAACAATAAGATTTATAGTATCCACTTAAAAAGACACGTTGAAAATGTGAAAGGAAACGCGAATATCGTTTTTTCATCAAATATAATATTATTATCTAAACTATGACCAATGTTCAGTAAACAATAAAATAATTATATAATTGTATTCATGGGTGTGTATAAAAGTGAAGATATTTTATGGAAATATTTCTCTCAAATCATAGAAACGTTCACAACGCGAGAAATTGAGAACTCGAGAAAAATCCGCTTTATCAGCTTTATTAGCGCGGAAAGAAGTTATGGAGAAAGATCTATTCCCCGAATGGTCCATATGTGAAGATAAAAATTACGTAAAAACTTATGTTAGTTGGAGAGCTGATATATATTTATTCGAACGCTATAGATTTCTTGTGCACTTTGCCGTAAGTCAACTCTCAACTGCCACCATCACCCTTTGTGATTCAACGATGTTCTCGACTTTCTTCGTCTGCAGTTTTGTAGACGAAGAAGACTCAAAAATGAACATTCAGAAAGTTTCTTCATGCTCTATATAGTGATTCTCATCGATATATATTTTTCTGCGAAAAACCGCAAGAATATATACAGCTTATTTTTATAATTTGCTTATATATAATGCAATAAATTGTTATATATTAGATAACCAGAAAAGCTCGTGCAACTGCATTCAATATATGTATATTGCAACATATATTGCAATATATTTGTATGTGTAATAGAGTGTATAATAATAAGTAATTAATTTATATAATCAGTGATTTGTTATAATTTATCATTATAATTAATAAAGCATGTTATCACTAATGAAATATTAAAAATAATAGCTAAAATTTTATAATTCTATTGTATTAAACAAGAAACTTTGCATTACCAATGTCTCCTTTAAGGGACAGACATTCGCAGTTTTCCGTCGTAAACAAATTTCTCTACAAGGAAAAGTCAGTCGTGGGAAATCAGCCAGCATATTTCATCGACAATCTTTTGTACAACTCGGCGAAGTTTCGAACAAGAACTTTCTTCGAGCCGCTAATCGATGAAGCTTCTGCGTAAACAAATGTACAACAACTAGCGCGTCGAAAGGCAAATCAAAGCAAAATCTTTCTTGTACCTATTATTAGTAGCAAAATAGCAGCCTTCTCGGCGGAAGATAAATTTATTTTCTCAAAAAAAAGAATGTGTATATATGTGTGTGTATATCCCTAATTTCCGGGATATTTCTCTGAGGTATTTAAAATAGAACATTTTCTCCATCTCTCTCTCTCTCTTTCTCTCCCTCTCTCTCTATTTGTGTATGTGTAAATATAACATTATATAATATATTTTAATATCTGGATACATACATAGTATTAAAAATTATATTTTAGAGAGAAAGAGAGAGAGAGAAAGGTATATTCGATATAGTCTTTTAGAGAGAGAAAGAGAGAGAGAGAGAAAGATTTAATACGGAAAGAAATTAAAACTAAAATGCCGTATCTAAAAATTATGTGGTAACTAGATTTCAGTCGTAATATATGGACAACGAACATCTTAGCTGTGATATCTATTTATTAGGTGCAACAGCAAATTGTTTTACTGTAGTTTAGAAATTTATTTTGCAAACCATGATTAGTTATGGTAGCGAAAAATATTTTTCCGTGAATATAGCAACATAATAAACATTTCGCGATATATAAATATGATTGATTTACGATATGCCATAAAAATTATACACAATGTATATACAATAGTAATGCAATTACAGACATTGTATTAGGAAATGGGAGAGTAAACCACAGGCGTAAATGTAAAAACGTCACGACTCCTTTCGTGTCATCTTTCGCCGAATAGTCGAAGATTTTGATAGAATGCATTTTAATGCGAAATTTGCATAATCGCTTGAATTCACGTGCGATGCGCACGTGATGCAGATGAATAAAGAACCTGAACCACACTAAAGCTTTCTTCCATCACATTCGCGTTTCTACCCCTTACAAAACCCTCTCGATTCTTTTTCCAAGTTATTCTTTCATTTATTAGAAAAATAGAGGGTCAACTGATTTATCGATTCGAAATTGCTAGAATTTTTATAACAGCAAAGTAAAAAACTGTGCAGATTTAAATTTGTTATTGTGGTTTTAATATTTTTATTTGTATTACTGTGTGGTTAAAAATACTCCGAGTTGTAAATTTAAATGAACGTAAATAAAGATAGAAATTTCATATAACGCATACTTTATTATATACATAAGAGTGCCAAAGTTTCACAATAATTTTTAAATATTACATATTTTCTCTCTTTTCTTTTTTTATTTCTATTCCTCCTTATATAAAAACTTCTATTTTTGTCACAAGTGTCAATTAATCGTAAAAAATCAATTTGTTTACTCCATTGATGAAGTTCTGAAAATTATAACAAAATCTCAAATTAACGACCACAGATATGATTCAGTATCTCATTCAAAAATAGCAATGTCAAGCTTCACAAGCACATTCAAAATTTTTATAAATAAATAATGCAACAATGCTCTTTATTCGATCGCGACAATTAAAGAAAGATTAAAATATCTGCAAAATTGCAAATCCCATTTATTATCTGACTCTCCAAAATAAATAATTTAGAAAATAATTTTCAAAATTAACAACTTTCAAAGAACGTTCTATTTTACTATTAAAAAATATTTATGTATGAGATAAAAAACTCTCTCTCTCTCTCTCTCTCTCTCTCTCTCTTTCTTTTTCTCTGACAGAATTTTAAAATTATTTTAACACAAATTTTCTTAACAGAAATAAATAAAAAAATTAAAATTTTCTAAATAAAAGATAAAAACTTATTTTATATTATAATTGATTATTATTCACCCTTTATAATTTTATCTCATAAATTGTATAATGCAATAAAGATTGATATATGTGATTAACCACATGTAATGTCCGAAGCATATTCTACCTAGTGAGAAATATAGATCGAGAAAACGTCTATTAGATATCTTACAATTAGACGTCTAATAGACATTTTCTCGATCTGTATTTCTCACTGGATAAAGAAAACACATTCTCTGTTTCAATATATTATACGTATGTATAATATATAAATCATATGTATATATATTGCATAGACGACCACAGATATGATATACATACATATATACATATATATATATATATAATTTCTTCTTCGTGTGGTGGAAATTTAATTGTAAATCTTAATGGCCTTTTCGAGGTAGTTGATACGAGAGCGCTTTGGCGCTTTGTTGACATGTTCCAGGCCAAGCCAAGGCCTGTGTGGCGATGTGCCTGCGTTTAAAAGTGGATAGACTACAAAATTTATTCTTCATCAGCATCATATTACAATGTACTATGTACTAAATATAGTGAGACTATGCGATTATTCGACGCTCACTTTATTCGCATGCGTTAGAAAATGGAGAATAGAAACATAATTTATACTTACTCTGACCGGAAAATCTAGGAAGGAAATCGTCGACTTTGATACAACAGTCCGGCGAGTCGATAATGAACTGTGGCTTGCCCATTGACACCACCGCGAACTTAAACTTCAAAGTTTTTTTATGAATTCTCATAAGAGATCAAAAAAGATTAGCTAAGGATGCCTACCTTTTCGAATTCTTTTTCCTGTACTCCTAATTTCTTTAGCAATCTATCCTTCATTTTTTGAAAAGGTTCACCCTATAAAGTACAGCGTTACAATTATTAATATATATATATATATATATATATATATATATATATATATATATATATGTATGTATGTATATATAGGTATATACAGCCAGAATATACGTCAGAATTTATATGACGATACGGTTTCGTTGTTCGAATTCGCTTATCGCCATCCGCCGTGACAATAATTAATTTAATTTAAGAAAGAATCAAAATAGTTTCAATGCGATAAAAAAATTATTCCTTAAATAGATGATTCCTTGAATGGATGATCAATAAAATCAAATATTGTTTTATGTAAAAATATGTATCTTCCTTTTATAAAAGTTGAAAGAAGTTTTAGCTTACACAATCAAGGTAAATTTTTGTCCCAAAACTTTTTATAAATAAAGTTAATACATGATCCTATAAAATTTTAATTTTAATTTCGTATTAGGCATTATATGCATAAAAATATCATAGAAAAAAATATATAATATGTATTGTTGACAATGTTATGCCTAATATGTTGACATGTGTGTATGTATATTTATTTATATACAAAACTTAATATGAATTATAAAAAATTTTTCTAGTTTTGGAATCCTATATTGCACTATAATATCAATTTTTATGTGATGTGATTTATTGAACTTTTTTGTGCTGTTTTGAAGGTATGTATGTATATATGTACAACGAATCTCTATTTTAAATAATAATGATACCTAATTATTTCAAACAATTTATAATAATATAATACGGTAAATATATACGTTCTTATTTAATGTGGTGTGTTGTCAAGCGTTCCTTCCATTATATCGATTTTTAAACAAAATTTTGTAACACAACTTTGCGTGACTGTATCTTATTAACTATTGAACCAAATAATTTAAAACTTGCACCATGTGTTGAATATCGAATTGTGAATAACCCCCTAAAATGGCAGCACAAACGAATCAAACGTTCGGAAATGCGAAGCGAGTCTCTAAACTTAATTGTTCGACAGTGTATATATATATGCGCACATGAGTATCTATTTCAAGTTTTAATTAAAATGAGAATTCTACACATATAAATCAAATTTAGATTCTTTTGTTTAAAAGTAATAAATTACATTTTTAAATTATTTGTATTATTTTTCGATATGTTTAAATATTTTTATTAATTTACACAATCTGCGTTTATTAGAAATATAAATTTTTAAAAGTAACAATATTTCTAATGTAAAACTAAAATAAATTTAAAAAAAATATAGTA